GCTCTGGAGATGTCTCAGCTTTTTTGGGATTTTTTTTAAGATTTGCCTAATCTGATGTGTGATTCCCATTTGCAGGAGGTCAAAGTGAACTGGGCCACCACCCCCAGCAGCCAGAAGAAAGACACCAGCAGTAAGTGTCACATTGTGCAGGTTCTCAAACAGAAATGCCCCACACAGAGCTCTGTGGGAATGGTTCTGATTGGAATCTTAATTATTTATTATCTTTGTGTTAATTAAACTTCAAAGCAGATCTGATCTTTGCCATCAGGTTCTCACAGCACTCACAAGGTAATTGTGTCTGCTTAAACATCACACGGTGCATCTCGAGGGAAGCTAAATTTGGGGGTGTTTTTTATGTTTTCCATTTATTTTTTATGGAAATATTTCCCTTTCATTTCCAGGAAGGGATCTGGTTTCTCGAGTTTTGGTTTGGTCCRAGGGCAGTTGTGAATTAAACCCCAAATCCTTCATTCTGAGCTTTTTGGGGCAAAGTGAGCATCTCCCTGCAGGGCTGAGCATCCATGAGGATGATTCCATCACTCCCAAAGAGCCCACGGAGAAATTGTGGGAATTTCTGTGGCAGAGTGGAGAGTTTGGTGCCTGCTGGGGCACAGCTCAATCWGTGTCACATTTTGTAGGATTGGGGTGGAAACCCCCTCAGATTCAGGCATTCAGTATGGGAGTTTTGTGGTGTTTAATAAGTTTCTGTCCTTTTTTATAGTAAATTTTGATAGATTTTTCCAGGAGGCTGGACCCATGAAGTGTAGACAGTCTCAGATTTATGCAGTAAATGCTGACACATGCTAAAAACAGTTTGTAGAATTGAATATAAAAATGTGTGTCCTTCAAATCTGTGCTTTTTTGGGTTTCTCAAGAGCAACAGGAATTCTGTTCCACTGCAAACTTTGCTCTTCCTGCACCATTCAATACGGGKTTTTTTTGGTGGTGTTTAATAAGTTTTTGYTCTTTTTCATAATGAATTTTGAGARATTTTCCTGGAGACYRRACCCAYGRAGTGTAAACAGTCTCAGATTTGTGCAGTAAATGCTGACAGGTCCTAAAACAGTTAAAATTCAATATAAAAATGTGTATCCTTTTAATCACTGCCTTGTATGATCTGGGAATTCTGTTCCACAGCAAACTCTGCTCTTCCTGTACCATTCAATACGGGTTTTTTTGTGGTGTTCAATAAGTTTTTGTCCTTTCTCATAATGAATTTTGAGAGATTTTCCTGGAGACTGAGCCYAYGAAGTGTAAACAGTCTCAGATTTGTGCAGTAAATGCTGACAGGTCCTAAAAGGAGTTTGTAAAAYTCAAGATATAAATTTGTGTCCTTCAAATCACTGCCTTGTAGGGTTTGTCAGGGGCAGTGGGAATTCTGTTCCACAGCAAACTCTGCTTTTCCTGTACCGTTCAATGTGGGGGTTTTGGTGATATTTAATAACATTTTTTTGAGTTTTTAATAATGAATTTTGAGAGATTTTCCTGGAGACTGGGCCTGTGAAGTGTAAACAGTCTCAGATTTGTTCAGTACTTTTGACAGGTCYTAAAAGCAGTTTGTAAAATTTAAGATGTAAATTGTGTCCTTCAAATCACTGCCTTGTAGGATCTGGGAATTCTGTTTCACAGCAAACTCAGCTCTTCTTGTACCATTCAATGTCAGTTTTTTGTGGTATTTAATAACATTTTTTGTGCTTTTTAATAATGAATTTTGAGTAATAGCTGGAGTTTTAATAAAGAGGTTTTTTTTAGGAGAATTCTTTTTACTCTGCTCAGCTCAGAGTGCCTTTTCAACCTCTAAATCYTCCTTTCTGTCCTTCCCTCACAGACCATTTCCACGTCTTTGTTGGAGACCTRAGCCCTGAAATCACTACCGAGGACATCAAAGCAGCCTTCGCTCCCTTCGGGAGGATCTCGTAAGTGCTTTCTTCTCTTCCAGTCCTTTTGCTTTGCTTCTGACACCCCCAGTGCTTGAATGTAGAGGAGGGGGCTCCAGGGAAGGTCAGGTTCATAGAATCATGGAATTATGGGATGGTTTGAGTAGGAAGGGACATTAAAACCCACCCAGTGTCACCCCTGCCATGGCAGGGACAACTCCCACTGTCCAAGGTGCCCCCAGCCTGGCCTTGGGCACTCCCAGGGAGTCTGTCTGTCCTCTGCAGGGAAGGGATGGGGCTCCAGGGAATCTGTCTGTTCTCTGCAGGGAAGGGATGAGACTCCTGGGGTTTGACCTCTGGCCAGATGTGCCTTATGGAAGGGATGAGGCTCCTGAGATTCAGTCCATCCTCTGGTCAGATGTGGTTGGATAGAAAGGATGGGGCTCCAGGGGTTCATCCTCTGGCCAGATGTGCCTGGGGGAAAGGGGTGGGGCTCCAAGGGGTCAGTTGATCCTCTGGATGGAAGGTATGAGGCTCCAGGGCTCCATCCCGTGGCCAGATGTGGCTGATGGAAGGGATCAGACTCCAAGGGGTCGGTTCATCCTCTGGGTGGAAGGGACAAGGCTCTAGGGCTCCATCCTCTGGCCAGATGTGGCTGATGGAAGGGATCAGACTCCAAGGGTTCATCCTCTGGCCAGATGTGGCTGGACTGAAGGGATGAGGCTCCAGGGGTCAGTCCATCCCCTGGCCAGATGTGGCTGGATGGTTCATCTTGTGGTCAGATGTGGCTGGAGGRAAGGGATGGGGCTGCAGAGGTCCATCCTCTGGCCAGATGTGCCTGGAGGCAAGGGATGAGGGTCAGGGGGTTCATCCTCTGGCCAGATGTGGCTGAGGGAAGGGATCAGACTCCAGGGGTTCATCCTCTGGCCAGATGTGGCTGATGGAAGGTATGAGGCTCCAGAGCTCCACCCTCTGGCCAGATGTGGCTGAGGGAAGGGATCAGACTCCAGGGATTCTCTCCACTGTCTGCCCAGATGTGGCTGAGGGAAGGGATCAGACTCCAGGGATTCTCTCCACCCTCTGGCCAGATGTGGCTGAGGGAAGGGATCAGACTCCAGGGATTCTCTCCATCCTCTGGCCAGATGTGGGTCGATGGTTCATCCTCTGGCCAGATGTGGCTGAGGAAAGGGATCAGATTCCAGGGATTGTCTCCACTCTCTGCCCAGATGTGGCTGAGGGGCTGTAACATCTGGAACACTGCAGGAACAGGCAGGGCACTGATGTGAGAGTTCCCCCTCCCTACCCCTGTCAGTGAACACCTCCCACAAAAGAGCCACAGCCTTCACAGTGGACAAACATTTCAATTTTCTTATTTTATCCATTTTATTCCTTTTTTCCTCCCTTTTTTCCTCCCTTTTTTTTTGCTGTAGCTCCGATGGCTCTGATTCAATCGCTGTCGTGCCGGTGATGTCTGGGAGCAGGACCCAGCTGTAAAAATGCAGCCATTTGTTAGAAAAACT